CAAGTTAGCTATAACTTGAACACTCTAGGTACCTAATACAATTGCTTCTATGAAAGCTGAAAGGTACAATTTTAAATCACCTACTACAATTGAACTAGAATAAAAGATAGACACAATGTAACTGGTTCTTCTATCTCGTTCAAGTAGCTTCAGGAGTGCACACTCAAATCACACATAAATTGCTTGCAAAATCGCCTTGCTCTTTTGCTCTCAATTTAGTTTAACTTCTGCGTATGTGCAATGCCTGTAAAAGAGAACAACACTATCATTTAATAGGTTAGTAATTAGAGTTTGATTGGGACTCAATTGCTGCTCTTCTATCGTAGAAGAGTTCATGATGATCTCAAACTCTAACACTATCTTCATCCTAGATTGTGTTCTCTTCATATAAGGAGACTTTCTCTCCTTATCTAATATGCAACCTTTTCGATCAGATCAGGAGATATTGCTGCTTGATCAGTAGGACTTATCTCCTTCACGTGCCTCTCACATATATAGATTGATCATGACTGTGCTTCACAAGATGGACCTGGTCCATGACTGAGTTCTTTTGTCAATCTTCAAAACTTCACCTGTTCTTGGGCCAACAAATTCCCCCTTTTTGATGATGACAAACTCTGTGCTTTTTACTGATTTGGAACCTGTAAGAACTCAGCTTAACCATCAATACTAACTTTAGAAAATTCACTTATCATCAAGGGCCAGGTTAATTAGGTTATAAATGTCACTTATTTCAGAGTGTGTAAAGCACAATGTCTCTTCCCCCTTTTGGCATCATCTAAAAGTTGCATACAAAGTGTGATTTCCAGACTTTAATAAGTACTCATGGCCACTAGGGCAACTGCAAGTCCAATCATGGTGCAATCATCAGTAATCAAACAAACATATTTAAACTATCAAGGACAAATTAATCATTGAACAAGAGAAAAACAGTAGTTATCATTGATAGAGATATGTTGCCACCTACAATCCACAAAAAGAAAGAAAAACATTCAAACCATGAGCAAAAACAAAAAGATAGAAAAATCCCTAATCTGGGTCACTGAGGTACTAGGCAAGTTCAGGAGACAAGAGCTAGGAATCCTAAGGCTTGGAGGTACTGGAGGGTTAGGTTTGGGTTTGGAGAAGATTCAGCATGTTCTGAAGAATTCCATCATTCTTCTCCTTTTCTTTGGCAAGCTCAGATCTGAGACCATCCCTCTCAGTTTCCACTTCAACCACACGAGCCTTGAGCCTAGCTATTTCAGCATCCTTGGCTGCACATTCCTGAACCAGAGCCCTAACTTTGCTGTTGATGGGTGTCTTCTGGGATGAACCAGGTTCATTTGGGATGGCATTGAATGGATAGTCACAAGCAAGAAGAGTATTGATGCCAAAGTGTTCCTTGCTCGAGGCCATTCCCATTTCTTCAGAGGCACATTGAGCCTGTCCAGAACTGTGGTTAGAATAAAGCCATATGGAGTAGCATGAGCCTTGGAGCCATTTATGACCCTGTCTAGCAGCTTGATAATGAAGGCAGGCCAGTTGATTTGCTTTCCTCTCTCCAGGCACTCCATAAGAACTAGATCCATGTAATTAGCAGTGTGCCTTCTCTTCTGTCTGGGCAATAAACACTTGTTGACAAATTCAAACAAGACCTTGTGCTCAGGCCTTATTTCACTTTTCTGCACAGCCCTGGCTTCATTCACATCTTCTGAATCACAAAACCTCCTGGTGATCTCAAGAGCAGTAGGGAGGGAGTCCAGGCATGGCCACCTTTGCCTTGTATAGTAATTAAATCCTTCAGAGGGTATGTCCAGGATCTCTCCCAGTGTCTTTGCATCAAACTGCACTTGGACTCCTTTCACCAGGCTACTAACAATGCCCTCCTTAACCACAACATTTGCCATAAATTCAATTAGCTCATTTCTGGCTAGCCTACCATCCATCTGAAGGACCATGTCCTTCCATCCCTGAGCAGCTAAAGCATCCATCAATCTCACCATTCCTGGTTCCACCAGGTCTTTCAGCAGTCTACCCTTTAAAATCTTTCTTTTGCCAAACATTGCAAACTTGTCCTGTTCCTTCTCAAAATCATTTTCTTCTTCTTCTTCTTCTCCACTCCAGTCATCATCTTCAGAAATTTTTGAATGTTTGTTTTTCACTGTAGATCTTGTCCTCTTGGCTAGTGTAGGTTCAACAGCCTCAGACACAGAGGAAGACTTCTTGGAAGAAGTCTTGGGCATTTTGGGCTTGGAAGTAGGAACCTCCACTGATGTACCCCTTTCTTGATGGACCAGTTCCATCTCCTCTTCCTCAACAGCCTCTGAGGATTCTGCAATCTTTCCCTTCCCTTTATCCATTTCCTTTTTCTTACTGCATCTAAAGCCCTTTGTAGCTCAGCTTCACTCTGTTTCACCCTGCTTCTTGTGGCTCTACCCTTTGGCAATGAAGAGGCAGTAGGTGTTGGGGATGAAACCCTTATTTTCTTGGAAGGCTTAGGAATATTTGGGGCTTTTGTTGTGGAAGGTTTTCGTTTCTTTGGGTCATAGCTTGCCCCAACCTTTTTCAGTAGGTCTTCCAGGGTTTCTTCAGCAGATGAAACAGGTTCATCTCTTTGTGTGCTCAGATGAACCAACCCCTCTGCAGCTTCCCCAGAACCACTTCCCCCTGACTTCATGCCACTCTCTTCTACCCTTTCATGTTCAACCCCACAGATAGCAGGCACTACTCCCTTCCCAATTCCCCTCTCTTCAACACATACACCCTCTCTCTCTTTTTCTTTTTCAAATTTCTTTTTACCTCCACTCCTTCTTTTCTTAGGCAATTCAACATCCCTAATGGTCCAACCAGAACAAACCAAGTCTCTATGTTTTCAGTCACAGATGAACTTACCTTAGAAAGGGATTCTTGAGTCTTTTCAGAATCAGAAGACCCATGTCCTTCCCCCTCAGTAGCGGATTGATAGGATTCATAATCAGAACTGGAGTTTGAGTTTTGAGCTTGGCTTGCTTTCACTTGTCTTGCTTTCAACCTTTCATTTAATGCCTTCCTCAGAGCCCAGATGCTACAGTCTTTCGAGCAAGCATTTTCACCCTTCGTAGTCTAGGTTTTGGAGATGCACTGGGTGGAGATGAATTTGAGGGAGATGGTGGTGGAGGAGTTCCAGGATTGTCTTGTGGGTTTGACATGATCGTTGGTTTCTTGAGAGAATTTGGGAATTAGAGTTTTGGAGAAGAAGGCAAGTGAGGGTGAAGAAGAATTTTTGACGGTTTTGAATTATTAGGATGGCAGATGAGGTGATGTGTATTTAAAGAGAGATACACATTTAATAAGTAACGACAACTTTTTAACATTGGTCAATTAGAGGTCTAATGAACCTGAAATTTCTGATTTGGAATGATCGGTTTATCTTCCCTAGATTTTAGGCAAAATTTTGGCTTTAGAGTTCTAGGCAAATGGAATTGGTTCAATGCTAACAGATATAATTTTCTAGGAATTGAACAGTTATAGGACTTCTGCTCATGATTGAAATATTAATCTTTCTAATTGTGCAGAGTATAGAAAGCATACTTTAGCTTTCATATGAACCCATACTGATGGACCAGGTTCTTCATTTAGAACTCTCTTGAACATGCCTCAAATGCCATAATAGAATTTTTTTGTAAGAGATCAGTGAGTTATATAAACACATGCCACAGGAGTATACTAATTAAAGTATGAAGCTGAGTAAGCATTAATCTAGATATTTACACAAGTTCAAAATTCCTAACCAATTTTTTTTTCTTTTCAATTTTTTTTTCATTGTGCATTCTGAGCTGGACCTATTAGGTGATCTTAATTATCCGTAATTCCAACCTGTTCCTCTCAATTCTATGGAGATCAATCCTATTATCTGCTATCCAAGCTAGGAGTGTTAGATGCATACCACCATCCAACTTGAGGGGGAGTATTAGGAGTCACGTGTCCAATTAGGTTAATTAGTTAAGTGCACGTGTGAGTTGAGTGATGAGTATATATATGTACTGCTTCATCTGAATGAATATATCAGAATTTTATTTCACATGATCTCTTCTTCCTTCTCTCTTCTCTCTGCTGTCTTCTAGAATGTGCGATGACCTCCAATGGAGGTTCCTTATTTTGACAAAAATAAAAATAGAAAATGTGGAGTAACAAAATTATTGCACCGGAAAGTTAGGTTTCCGGCAATTGTGACCTTTGTATGAGTAGGTAAAAGTCTTGTAATTTTTGTATTAAAAATTATATATGACTTTGGTGGTAAAGTGATAGTTATATGATCATTTGTGAAATTTACCTCATCTTATCTTTTCTAATACTTTGTGCTTCTGTCAATCAATTTCAGAAAATTCTTTAATATATACTACATGCATGATAAGATATGGTAAGCTATTATAAATATGTAGTGCTTACCCTTGAATGATTAAATTTATTCTCCAATCAGAACGTAAATTTTGATATTGATTTGGCAATTGCATTGTTTAAGGAACATTCACTTGTTGGACAGTATGGTGAGTACACATTAGCAATATAATTAAAGAAATTACTTAAATAGCACCAGATTCAATTACTTTGCTAGAAAGGATGTCGTGTCGCAATTACCTTGTATTTCATAATATAGCTGATAAAAGGTTATATTTTTATTACGCTACTAAAATTTTGATACTAAACTAATATGCAGATTTCATTTTTCTACCATAAATGGAAAATGCATAAGAGATTGTAAAGTTTAAATTGGGATAATATTTATGTTTCACCATATACAACCAAATTATTACCTCAATAAAAGTGTGAACACAATTTCCAATTATGTACATTTATTTAAATGTTACCATGTCTGGATATGATAGATGGATTTTCTTTGTCTTAAGAGTAGGTCATGACTCATGACTAAATATATATATATATATAGCTACCCTCCCAAGCCTCCATATTTACTTTATTTCATACCTCTAAACATTCACAGTTGCAAAAGAAAGTGTATTTTAGGCCTTCTCTGAAGAATGGCTAGGAAGAATATCAATGAGGGTAAAAGATCAGTTGTTCTTCAAGAAAGGATGGAAGCTTTGTTTAAGAAAGCAGATGAGCTATCCATTCTATGTGGTGTAGAAATTGGTATTGTTGTTTTTAGTCCTCATAAAAAAAATGCTGAATTTGAGTGGCCATCAAGAGATAAATTTAAACAACTCTTGATGAGGTTTCTAGATAAACCACTAGTAGAGAGGCTTAAGAAGATGACAACACATGAACAATTCCTCAGGAATGAGATAGAGAAGAATGTGAGAAAAATTGATCAGGAGAAGACTGAAGAAAAGGAAATGGAACAGCTATTTAAGCAGTTATATCTTGGGGAAAAGACTGTCTTTGAACTGGATAAAAGACAACTTATAGGTGTTCGCAACTTGGCTATGAAGGCGAAAGAGAAGGCCGTTGAAAGGAGAATACGACTCCAGTTACAAGATCAACGTCTTAGGTTACCAATTGATCACATACCATTTCGGGTGGCTCCACTTAATGTTCCATATGTTAGTCTTCAGTTACCAATTGATCCCATACCACTTCGAGTTGCTCCACTTAATGTACAATATCAGCGTTGAGTTCTTCAGTTACCAAGTGATCACGTATCACTTCGAGTGGCTCCACTTAATGTACAAGATCAACGTCTTCAGTTACCTATTGATGATCCTTTGGCACTTCGATTGGCTCCACCTGACGTACAATATCAACGTCTTCGGTTACCTATGGTTGATCCTTTGACACTTCGATTGGCTCCTCCCGAGAATTAATGAATATGGTTAATCACAATCAGAGTATTGGCGCAGCAACAATAAAAAGTTTATTTGTGCAACCTGATGATGGAAGCTTCATATTCTTTGCCAACAGGAAATCATACTTGTGCAACTATCAAGATATTTGATGTGTTTCATTTCTCTTTAATGTACCTTTGCTTCTTTTGGTTTCTTATTTTTTTTTTTCTATATAGCAACAATTGTCGTTCAAAAGTCACTTCAAAGTTTTAGCTTTACAAATGAAGAGTAGTGTTATATAAATTTTCATATGCAAATTGTATGAATACCTAGTTATGAATTTTCAAATGCAAATTGGCCAGTTTATTTTTCTTCAACAAAGAGATCGACTACATGCTACAATGTTGCTCAAGGTCATTTTTTAACTCATTTGGTTGACAACATTAATCAACTAGCTGATATTCACAAATTAGTGAGAAAGAAGTTATGAGTTAATTTAAAGTAGATATATTAGACATGATCTCCCTATGTTATTTTCCTCCTTAATTTCAATTTAAAATATTCCATGTGCATAAATATACAACCACTGTTAACTTGTTATACACAGTGTAAGAACGAAGCATCGTGTTTCTCCTTTCATGCTGTAATAATTCAATCATTTTTAATTGTACCATTCCATTAGAAAATTAACAAATACGAATATCCAATACCATCTTATGTTTCCTAAGCTTTTGTAATTCAATCATCAAATTGAGAAATTACTTTAATTCTACATGATTAAATATGGTAAGGTATTATAAATGTATGCAGCACTTACCTTTACATGATTAAATATAGTCTCTAATCAGAAAATAAACTTTGAAATTTATTTGGCAATTGTGTTTAACCTAAAATTAACTTTATAGACCAAATTAATTAAATTAATATTTTTAGGGCACAACAACCGGATTGACCCACTTTCTCAAATATAAATTGCAAGAATTATTAATAATTGGGAATAAGAAAATCAAATATAAAGAAGAAAAAAAAAAGAGAATTCTTATTAATAAAGATAGATGTTGGACTTTAAAGCATTGGGCTTTAAAGACTTTAAGCATTGGGCTTTAAAGTCTAAGAGTGTGAATTGGGAAATGGTGGGAAATAAAATGGAGGGAAATGAAAATTTGAATCAAGTGAGCTTTTGTCATGAACTTTGTCCCTCATTGGTGAGGGACAACTACATTTGTGTGTATATATATAGGATCACTTTTTAGAGCTCTTAAAAGGAGTTGAAGAGAATGAACCCTCGCGCCGTCGTCGTCGCTTGGCTCGGCTTCAGCTTCGGCTTTGGAAAATGATCAATAAGATTATTTTTTGGACAAAATTTATTTAATTATATTCAATAATTAATTAAATGCCAGTCAGTTCATTAACGGAATTAACTAAAACTCAAATTCACGCTGCCTTTGCTGAACGTTGTTTTTCTCCTGAACAGACACTTTTTCCTGAACAGACATCATACCTCTTCCGATAATTGCCTATAAATTCTGAGGCATGGCTTCTTTTTTCGACACTGAAAAATTATAGAACTTCCTTCCTTCTGAATACTGCATTCTACTTCGCAGTCTCTCTCTCTCAAATTCGTAAGTGTGATTTTGCTCCGTTCTTTGAGTTTGTTGGTATCCTGCAGTTTGTATTGCCACTGTTGCAGGTAGGTTTATTCCGTTTCATTCTGGGAGGATTTAATCCATCACTTTGGCAACGTGTAAGGGGCTTAAAATTCCTTAAGGACGCACAAGCAAATTGTGGACTCGGAATATTTTTTATAGTTTACTGCTTTTCCAGTTTATCTTCTAACATTCTTTCTAATTTTGTGTTTTAACACAGTAGCGACAACAAGCTTAAGGAATTTTATCTAACGTTTCTGTGTTGAAATATATATATATATATATATATATATTAAACTGTTATCTATATTTTGTATACTGGTTTGGAGACTAAAGCCTTCGTGCTTTCCACTCCAATAATTGTTCTGTCCGGTTTAAAGTATATCAAAACTTTACCGGAATAATAAACGTACGGGTTTGAAGTATATAAAAACTTCACCATTGTTACGTGTTGTATGTTTGGTTTGGTATTCAGTTTGAAGATATCAAAACTTCACTGATTTAACAAAGTTATGTTTCTACAGAAAAATGATGAATGAAAACCAAACTAATGGAAATGTTGCGGGAACGGGTGCTACTGTTACGAGTTTTGCTGCCTCGTCAAGCCGTTCAACTCCTGCTCATGCTATGGCACCAGCAGAAAAACCCGGAAAGTTTTCCGTTATTGACTTCAAACGTTGGCAAATGAAGATGCTCTTCTATCTTACTACGTTGAGTTTGCAGTGATTTATCAAGGAGGATCCTCCGGTCCTGGCTGAAGGCACTCCGGATGACGAACGATTTGTTGTAACTGAAGCATGGAAACATTCTGATTTCTTGTGCAAAAACTACATTTTGAGTTGTTTGCAAGATAGCTTGTACAATGTCTATAGTGTAATGGAAACTTCAAAAGCGTTATGGAATGCACTTGAGAAGAAGTACAAGACTGAGGATGCCGGACTTAAGAAGTTCGTGGCTGCAAGGTTTTTGGATTTCAAGATGATTGACACTAGGTTGGTCATAACTCAAGTCCAAGAATTAAAGTCATTGTGCATGACCTCCTTGCTGAAGGTATGACCCGAATCAATAATTTTATTAATAAGATTTATCTTGTTATTAATTATGAATTTATTATTGAAGGTATGGTCATAAATGAGGCCTTTCAAGTCGCCGCTTTCATTGAGAAGTTACCTCCGTTGTGGAAGGACTTTAAGAACTATCTAAAACACAAGCGGAAGGAGATGACACTTGAAGACTTGCTTGTTCGTTTGAAGATAGAAGAAGACAACAAAAATGCTGAAAAGAAGTCACGTGGAAACTCGACAATAATAAGGGCTAACATTGTTAAGGAGGCGCCACAACATAAGAAGATAAAGAAGGCTTCTGGACCAAAGAATTACCCAAGCAAGAAAAAAATTCAAGGGTAATTGCCACAACTGTGGAAAATCTGGGCATAAGGCCGTGGATTGTTATGCACCAAAGAATGATAAGAAGAAGAAGAATCAAGCTAACATGGTTGAAAATGCTGAAGAAATGGAGGACTTGTGTGCCATGTTATCTGAATGCAACTTGGTAGGAAATTCTAAAGAATGGTGGATTGATTTTGGGGTCACCCTCCATGTTTGTGCTAACAAGGAGTTATTTTCTTCCTATGCCCCCGCAGGACCCGACGAGACAATTTTCATGGGAAATTTGTCTACAGCCAAAATTGAAGGAGTTGGCAAGATTGCATTGAAGATGACGTCGGGAAAAATTGTGACTCTAAACCAAGTTCTCCATGTTCCAGAAATTCGCAAGAATCTTGTGTCTACCTCACTTCTTGTCAAGAATGGATTCAAATGTATTTTTGTTTCTAATAGTGTTGTACTAAGTAAGAATGATGTGTATGTAGGAAAAGGTTACCTGAATGAGGGCCTTTTTAAGCTAAATGTAATAGCAGTTCCTATCAATAAAGTTAATGCTTCTTCTTACTTACTTGAGTCAAACACTTTATGGCATTCACGCTTAGGTCACGTCAACTTCAAAATATTGCGAAAGATGATAAATCTAGAAGTATTGCCAAAATTTGATTGCATTAATTCCAAATGTCAAATATGTGTGGAATCAAAGTATGCTAAGCATCCTTATAAGTCCGTTGAAAGGAATTCAAGTCCTTTAGACTTAATTCACACAGATATTTGCGACATGAAGTCAACACCATCTCGCGGTGGGAAAAAGTATTTTATTACTTTTATTGACGATAGCACGAGATATTGCTATGTTTATTTACTTAATAGTAAAGATGAGGCAATTGATGCTTTCAAGCAATACAAGAGTGAAGTTGAACCACAACTAAACAAAAAAATCAAAATGATAAGAAGTGATAGGGGTGGTGAATATGAATCTCCTTTTGAAGAAGTATGTTTGGAAAATGGCATTATTCACCAAACAACTGCCCCTTAGTCTCCACAATCTAATGGAATTGCGGAGAGAAAGAATCGAACGTTGAAAGAGATGATGAATGCATTGTTGATAAGTTATGGTTTACCACAGAACTTGTGGGGGGAAGCTATACTTACAGCTAACCGAACAATCAACCGAGTACCTCATAGTAAAACACAGTCCATTCCTTATGAAAAATGGAAAGGAAGGAAGCCCAGCTTGAAATACTTCAAAGTGTGGGGGTGTTTAGCTAAGGTACACGTTCCTAAACCTAAAAGGGTTAAGATAGGTCCAAAAATGGTTGATTGTGTATTTATTGGATATGTAACCAATAGCAAGGCATATCGTTTTCTGGTTCATAAATCAGAAAATCCTGAGATTCACGTTAATACGATAATAGAATCAGATAATGCTGAATTCTTTGAAACTATTTATCCGTATAAAAAGGAAAGTGAATTGACCTACCAAAAGTCAAAACGACCTCGGGAGGAAATAATAAATGGTATGCCTAATGAGGAAAATCCGAGAAGAAGTAAACGTCAACGGACATTGTCACGACCCGAATTTCCCACCATCGGGAGTCGTGATGGCGCCTACTGTCGGAGCTAGGCAAGCCAAGTATTAAAACATTTTCTGATAACATCTTAACGATATAAATAAAACGAGTCATTTAAATAAAAGCGGAAGTCTTAAAAACATAGATAACTAAGAACCAAATGCGGAAGTTTAAATACAACTCTACCCAGATCCGGTGTCACTAAGTCACGAACTACTAAAGAGTGCTAAAACAAGTCTGAATAGAAGTACATCAATGTTTGTCCCGGTACAAGGAAAACAAACTAATAACATAGAAGGGACTCCGGCCTGCGGACGTCAGCTAGGATACCTCGAGAGTCCCTGGACTGAAGTCAGCTCCCGATCAAATCCTACTGCTGAGGCCCAAAAGCTGCTCCTGGATCTGTGCAAAAAGATGCACAGAGTGTAGCATCAGCA